GGAGATCAATGGGTACTATGGGTATTTTCATTATACGCTTATATGTATATGATCCCCTATTAAAATAAAAATGCAATTAGTTTTCCATTTTCAATGGAAATTTGGGGCAGAATATGAGTAACTGCCAAAAAGCCAAAACCTAATTCTAGCTTTAACCTTCTATACCACCAAGATCTTTATTAAAGATACTACCCAGCTATCAAGATGACTAAAAAACAAGTCCTTAGTTCATCCTGGCTTGACACCTGTGTTGGTGGCCAGAGCTGTTTCACGCCTGGGGCACATAAAATTTAAAAAAAATTAAAAATAGGACTAAAAACACCATACATTTTCATATCCTCTCTCTAGTAAAATGTAAAATGGTCAATAGACAGGGGAAAAAAAAAAGAGACAAGAGTTTTAGAACTGGAAGTTACCTCAGAGATCATCTAACATAATATTATTTCACAGTTGAGAAAACTGAGATCTAACTGTCTCTAAATTAGCTCTACAACTAACTGGGATACAGGGCTGTATAATCTTCCACCAAAATAAGAAAGAAAATGGCTATGGCCTTGTTTGTGGGGGAACACTTAAAACAGTCTCCAGGCTAAAGAAAAGTTGTTTTAGCCAATTACTTAGTACCCTTTGTGCTTCCCTTTCTGCGTATTTGTGACAGGCACACACTTAGCCAGCTATCCCAACAGACGTTTGAAGAAACTTCTAACTTGCTAACAGAATCGGTTTTTCCTGGGCAACAAGCAATGCAAGCCCAGGAAATGATACGTGATGAGCGTTACACCAACCACGGTAACCCCAGTCCCCTTGGCCACACACTCGCTTCCCTGGTCTCTCCTGTGGGTGGGGGCAGCCCTGTGAGACAATTCAAGCAAATGATACTGAAGAGAAATTGAATGGACACTTTGGAGAAAGACTGTTCTCTTTTAGGCAAGCACAGGAGGAAGGATTGCTTGACCTGTCTGTCCTCTACCTCTCCCTTGCCTTGAAAAGGGATGTGATACCTAAGGCTAAGACAGCCATTTTGGGACCTGGTGGCAATAAGTAGACACACAAAGGACGGCAGAATCAAAGGCTGGAGAAAACCTGGGGGGACTACCGAGCAACTGGGCCAACCATGAGACCACCTACCCCTAACCGTCTCTGAACTGCATAAACAAATAGTTCATAGTTTAAGGCCCTGCTGTTGGTTTTCTGTTGACTACAGTTGAAAGCAGTCCTGAATTTCAAAAAAAAATTGTCTGTGGCATGCTATGATTGTCCTGCCCAATCTCACTCCCATTACACACATACACTGTTTATACAACATGCAACTAAAGAGTGACAGGATTATAGTCCTCCTGCATAGCTGACAGAGACCAGTTTCAATGCTTTATAGTTACAGTACCTCAACTATATGACCCTATTAACATAAATGTCATCAGTAGGGAAAACATTAGGGAAAAAACATCATTTACAATCATGTTTGTTTTTGATTATTGACTTTGATCATTCCTTCTGCCATCTCAATTCCTTTTTGGAATTAAGTAGTACATAAATAACAAATTGATAAATGATGTCTTTTTGAACTAAACTCTTCTGTCTCCTTTAATCATAACTATGTGTTAGTAAAAAATAAGGTGTTAAAATTTCATTCTTGAATTTATATCCCTAAACCTGGCCCAGTCAATATTTTTCTATATTGATGCTTATAAACAAAGCTTAGAGATTTATCAGCACTACACCAAACTCATGGCACTGCTATCTTCTCCCATTGGTTAGAATAACAATTTGAATACTGGTAAGACATTGAAAGTCAGGTTATCCAGTGCCATTATTAAAATAGTTATCTTAACCATATTTTGATGGAAATCTTTCAAATAATGTTCATCTCCATGACTCCTGCTACACCCATCTCTGAACTTCCCCGGGCTCCATTCTTCCTATGTCTAGTGCACAGGACAGCCCAGTTCACTTGTCTTCCTCTCTGCCCTCAATGCTTATCTACATCTGTCCACAACCCCGTTCTGCCTATAGCTGTTCCCATGACCACTAGTGTACTCCATTTTCCCCTTTCACAATTTCTTCTTTCTAACCTCATGTGTCTTGTCACCCCTCAGCTTCCTCAGGGAAAAAGGTCAACAGCCTCCCTAGTTAGAACAAACAACTGCAATGAGCACCTGTTCTCCTCTCAAGTATGTTAGCATCTCTCCCCTGTTGTCATTCAAGGAAAATAAATGGCTGTGTAATCCTGATATAATGAACACTGTATTTTGTACATATATGTAGGCTCAGTGCTTTTTCAGTTTAAAAAGAAAAACAGAGGGACAGCAAATGCTCATTTTTTTTGTTAAGTTGTAGTATAAAGTGCTTTTACCGACTCCTCCTGTCTACGCTTTATCCCCACCACCCACTGATGCTATATGACCTTCCACCCATTATGGTCTCTGGGTCACATGGCTCCACCCACACACTCGCATATTCCCATTTTCCTTGCAAATTAATCAGTTAAAATGGAAACATTACTGTATTGATATAGATGTCTGTATTAGACTGCTCTAAAAATATATTAGAACACCACACTAGTTTATATCATCATTTTCAGTGTTATCCAGACACCCCTGGTGGGAGGCCCCTGAGACCATTTCAGGGAATCCACAATGTCAAAATTAGTTTTAATAATACAAGATGTTATTTGCCTTTTTCACTCTCAGTCTCTCCTGAAGGTACAACAGTGACTCCAGAGGATACATGGTGTGTGATGATAATGTAGCCCTCTGGCAGTTAATGAAACATATGCTTATATAGTTTTGTGTTTTTTTAGAATTTCCCAAGGTAGCAAATTTAAGGTATAAATATGCATTTTTTAAAGACATTAACTCAGTGTGTTCTGGGTACTTCTTTGATTATATCTGCTATACCTTCATTACTCATTATCATCAAATGAATTCACTGAGATTAAAGAAAAAGAAATTGAGCTCTGGCCAGTGTGGCTCAGTTGATTGGAGAGGCACTCCGTACACCAAAAGGTTGCTGGTTTGATTCCCGGTCAGGGCACATACCTAGGTTTTGTGTTCGATCCCCCGTCGGGGCACATACAGGAAGTCAACTGATAAATGTTCTTCTCCCCCTACCCCCTCCTTCCCTTCTCTCTAAAACCAATAAGCATGTCCTCAGGTAAGGATTAAAGAAAATAAAAATAAAGAAATTGAATGTTTTAAACATTGACATGATGAGCTCTTTAAAAGCAAAAGGTTGTTTTCAAATTAGAAATGATAAAGTCACTGAATCATCATACAGGGTAAATGATCAGACTAAATTGGTTGGAGCAGTACACACAACAGCTGAGAAACTAATAAAGCTTTATATGGCTGACATTGCTGAATGTCTGCTGGATGAAAAGTCAGTAAAAGAAATCATGGCAATGCCACTTATCAATGATGCAGTATCGCATCAAATTAAATATTTTACTGCTAACATAAACGACAAGTTAGTATCTCGCCTTAAGGATGGTACTTTTACTTTATAAGTGGACAAATCTGTAGATGTGAGTGGACTTACTGTTTTGTTTTCATTATTCCAGTATCCAAGCCAACTAACCATTGAAGAAGGTCTTCTTTTATGTGAATGCTTGGCAACAAATACAAGTGCTGCTGAATTACTCAAAGTATTAAATAACTTTTTGAATCTTAGGACTTACCCTGAAACAACCATGTTGCTATCTGCTCTGATGGTACAAAAGCAATGATGGACAAAATGTAGGTGCTTTAGTGTGAATCAAGGCAGGGGTACAAAACTGCACCGGTAATAATTTGATTTCTCGCTATCAATCATTTTTTAAAAGCCAGTTTCTCTTAATGTTTTCAATAAAAGCAATTAGTTTTATTAAATCTCACTCTTGAAAACCTGGTCTTTTTAACATTCTGTGTAATGAAATGGAAGGTACACATAAAAATCTCCTCTGCTACATACCTAATACAATTTTAAGGAAAAGCATGTATGCAAATTGTTTGAGCTAAACTACACACTTTTTTCATACAATACAATTTTTGTTTAAAAGAATGACTGGCAGACAACTTACAGTTTATTCAGACTCAGGTATCTGGCAAACATTTTCTCTAAAATGAATAAAGTAAGCCTGATACTTCAAGGAAAAACTGACAATACCTGTTGCCCATGATAAAATTTGAGCTCTTGAGCAAAAAATAGTGTTTTGGAAAACTTGAACTCAACACCAAAATCTTGACTGCTTCCCAATTCTTAAAGACATTTTTGATGAGGTTAATGGTCATATTAATGAATGTGATTTGTTAAATATTATATAAGCAAATATGTCAACATTTGAAAGATTTTACACAATTCACTAAACCATTATTTTTTCAAATGACCAATGTATGATGGATGCTATAGAATCACAAACACATCAAAGATCCGTTCAAACTGCAAGATGGATCAATAGATTCTTTATGTTACAGATCACAAAAAAGTCACTGATATGGTTTCAAAGTTAACACTGCAACTAACCTTTAAGAATCTATCACTTTTTGAATTTTGATGTAATAAAGAATATTTACAATTACATGAAAAGACACTGAAATATTCCATCCACCCCTTTTCAACTATGTATCTGTGTATAGCTGGGTTTTCTTTATGTTCGTTAACAAGCAACATATCACAACAGATTGAATATAAAAGCAGTACTGAAAATCCATCTGTGTTCTATTAAGCTATACATTAAAGAGAGTGGCAAAATGTAAAACAATGTCACACTTCTCATTGTATTTTTTGTTTTGAAATCCACTTTTCATAAAAGTATGTTCTTTATGTTAACCTTTAATGAGTTTATTCTTTTTAAATGAATAAACATTTTAAACATTTCTCAGTGTGTCATATATTGATAGACACAGTCCACATAAACAAATCATCTTTGGGGTCCTCAATAATTTTCAAGAGTACCAAAATGTTTGAAAACCATTGGTTAAAGAAGAGCACTTATAAATATGTGTATATTAGAGAATGGGTACCTGAAAATGAATCAGAAGATCTTGGCTCCAGTTCTAGCACTTCTTACTTGCTTTGAGATTTGGATAAATCACTTAGTCTCTCTAAGGTCTTAGTTTCCTCATCTGTAAAATGAATACAGACAAAATATGAAAAAGCAATTAATAAAGTACAGGTATATATTATTATAGGGTCTCAAAGTTAAAGAGTTTTAAACGCTTCTTCTGACCACATTTTTACAAAATTCACCCTTCTTAAAAAAGTATTACTAAAAGCATAACATAGAAAAAATGCAGATTTTTGATTAGCCAATTAGCTCAAATGTCCAACCACGTAATTTTACTGTATTAAATTTCTTCCCCTATAATTATAATTGGCAATATATAGTTTAAGTATATGGTGTAACTAATTATGATTATTTCCAAATATACACAAAGTACAGAAAATAGTAACAAAACCCAATGTACCCATTACCCAGCTTCAACAATAATCAAAAACTTGTCAATGTTTTATTTCCCATTTCTGTGTCTGTGCCTATCCTGAAGTTTCTTAAAACAAGTATTAGTTATTATTTCATTTTACCTATACATACTTCCATATGTACCTTTAACGTATGAGAATTTTTTAACATCACTAAAATATTAATACAGACAAAAACTTTATGGTTATAATTTGTAAATACTACCTAATACACACTCCATGTTCTAAGTTCCTGACTGTCTCCCCAAAAAAGTCTTTGTTAGTTTTTAGTTGGTTTGTATCATCAAAATACGATTCTTACCAGTTCATTTTCAAGAAACACAAGATTTTTAGTAGAAGCTAGGAAGAAAGAGGAAACAACTCCATGCTTAATATGCCATGCGCAGTTTACAAAACGAAGTCAAGAACTATCTTCCTGAAGAATGTGCTTCTCCCTCAACCAAACAACAGACAGTAATAACAAAAGAAACCCACTACAAAATAGGCCAGACTGGTGACACTTCAGCATTCTGAGAAGTAACAAGAAGAGAACACAGCGCAGCTGCTCAGGAAGAGAAGTCGTTGATAGGAAACAACCACCTGCCATCTCGGAAAAGATGAGGTCAGGTCAGCCACAAGGTCAGGCAAGCTGGAGGTCAGGGTCCATGTTCCAGAGCAAGCATACTGCTCTAACAAGTCAGGTAGGTGCCTGAGGCTGTAAGGCAACCAACCCCCTTCAGGTTTCAACTCAAAACTCAAAAGCCAATGCTTTAAGCTAGAGTTGTAATGGGACCACAATCAAAAGTAACAGTTGTATTAATTTTATTTATTCAGCAAACATTCATCAAAAGCTGACTCTACCAGATTATCCTAGAATGAACTGGGTTTTTAAAAAATCTTCACCCAGGATATGTTTACTGATCTTAGAGAGGAAGAGAGAGAGAGAAACATAGATATGAGAGAGAAACATCGATTGGTTGCCTCCCATATGTGCCCTGACCGGGGATTGAACCTGCAACCTTTTGGTGTACAGGATGGCGCTCCAACCGAGCCACCAGGTCAGGGCTGTTTTTTTTTCTCATTTATACAATGCAAACAATAAACAGCATATACTTCTCTATATGTCCTTCCACATTAATTTTAAGGGGAAGAATGAAGATATTTAATATTAATTACCTTGCCATATACCATTATAATTATAGTGCATCTTTTCTTCTGAAAATCAGTTTGCCCTACTTCTCACCAGACACTGAAACAAATCTGAGTTTTGCTGTCCTTTCCAAATATTTTTGAAGAGTAGCTGTCACATTAGCTTTTATCACACACACCGCAGACCCCCAGCACTGATTATCTCCAATCCTTTTCTAAATGGAGTATTTACTTTAGAAGAAAATCAGAGGAATGCTGAAGAATTTCCTACCTCCTCTGAAAATTTTCTTTTCCATAGGCTTACCTAAGGGTGTCAGAATGAAAATTGGTTAAGGTGCATATAGAAAATTTTTCAAAAGATTTGGTTCTATAGATACACACACTTAATATGAACCCTTTACTTCAGTTTCACCTATAATTTTTTTATGTTTAAAATTGCAGAAAGAGTGGAGAACGGAGGGAACATATTTCTTCAAGAATGCTTGAGAAGTACTTCATACAAGTATCCAAAAACAAGAAATAGTAATCAAGAAATTTTTAGTTGGCACTGTAAAGGACGTCTTCTCAACAACAAAACCTGGCAGTAAGATACCTGCAGTAAGAATCCAGACTTCCCCATTTCAAAACTGACACTGCTTCAGGTTTCTACTATTTGTAGAAAGAGAGTAAAAATCCCAAGTTTAAGACAGTATTTCCAGTGAGGCCACTAACTCTCCTACAAATCTTTAAGGAGACCTAATTAAGCACACGAAACACAACACAGTCCAAATTTACTTTTCCATTCCTATACCATGTGGTAAGGACCCACAGAGGGGTCATCCTTTAATCTATTTTACCCATCCGGTAATAAAACCGAATACCTTTTATACTGTCTGTACATCTTTTGTTTCCTGTGCTCTCATACAAGGTACCATCAAAACAAACTGTCCTTGGAATTTAGCTTCACTTTGTGGCACTATTGCAACATTGCTCCTAATAGAGAATCTAACCTAAGTATACAGCCCAAGACATCACAACCCTAAGTAAACTATAATGACAGTAACTTCACTGCAAAAACATGAGATCTGTAGCAAATGGCAGGGGCAAAAAAGTAGATAAATTGTTGATGAGGGGTTAAAAACTCAAAGCTTACATGCTTCAATCTAAAATAGACATTATGTAGGTTTCTTTTTTTAAAATTGGTTAAAGTTAATGTGTAGACTTTTTTTCAAATTGGTTTGGACTGCAATAAATATTAAGTTATATCATTATTTATCAGGATATCGTGGACAAATAGGTTATTTGCAGAGTAAGTGGGACTGCAACTAGCCCTCTATAATTTCCTGACCCTGGTCATGATCTTCACAAAACTTCACCACTTGACATCAGGATCTCCATGTAATGTTTACTTGTTTACTCTCCTTCCATCTTCTCCTACCAGAATGTTAAGTTCCATAAGGGCAAAAAAAATTATTTTCTACTCTATGCCCAGTTCCTAGAACAGTGTCTGGCACATTAGGGAGAATCCAAATCTGCTGAATGAAGAGATGAATGAATGGCCTCCTTCTTTGACCTCCCCACTTCCTTTCCTCCATACACATGTTAAAGATCCTGTAAAGCCAGGGTCAAATTCTATTCTCTCTATGAAGATTTCCTCCCCTAATCCTCCAAGCTCCTTTATACGTGAATCTGGCACTTCCCTGTCGTCTGATAATTGTTTTATCTTTGCATATGAACATACCTCCCTTAAAATTCTTATAATCCTCTCCTTATTAAAGGCATGGAACCATGTCCCCAACTTCTGGTATTCACCTCAGTTCATGTAAATAGTACACCATTAATAAGTGTTTTGCTTGATCGATTTATATCCATAGTTAACTTAGAAATAAATTAATAGTTTCATCTTTTTATAACCTATCCCTCCCTTTCCAATAACTCAATTAAAATTGCAGTGGGCCCCCGTCTATTTTAAATTTGTGTTTGGCAATTTCAAGTTTTACATACTCATATAATTATAACTTATACTCATAATTTTATCCATCCTCCCTCCCCCAAGATTAAAATTTTTATTTGTGACTTTTTGGTGATACCTATCTAACCTCAGTTAAGAAAGAGGTGAAGTTTCATTACCCTCTTCTTGTAGCTGAGGTAAAAGAGGGTATTTTTTCCCTTTATATCTTTTTCCTTTCATGCCAAGATATATTCCACTTCCTTCTTTCCTGGCCCTACCCCTGGCAAGTTTTTTTCCTTTGTACCTGTCTTGGGTAATCTGCCTTAGATACTTCTTTTTGAGCCACTCCTACTTCCTCCAATCATTTATTTGATTAAATTTCAAAGTCCCTCTTAGTCTGTGCATGAGAATGGCCTCTTTTTAAAGCCTGAGCCTGCTTCTTTAAATCTGGCAACCTTCTATGAACCTCATCCCTTCACATGGCCAACCCTTGATCACCAGGGCTAATGAAATGTACAAAAATATCAGATTACCTACAACATAAGAAAATCAAGAAAAAAATGACATCTGGCTTTGGAATATATCATATGTGGCTTTGGGCAAGATTTAATTTCTTAATTATGTTTTTACTTAAGCCAACATTAGTAACATTTTCTTTTATGATGGTGGATATCTGTTTTGGTTTTAAATTTTGATGTAGTTAAAAAAAAAAAGCCCATCAAGCCATCAACTGTGATTTTTTTCAATGAAGCCCTTTTAACTAGTTTTTTCAGTCTGTTAAAATCTGTCATAAAATCTGGTTTCTGTTTCCCTGATTTATTTTTCCCTTTTCTTGGGATTCTGATCCAAATCAGCTTTCCTATATTAATTTACTTCTTCAATTTAAAGTACTATTTGCTTGAAAATGAAAAGCTTTTTAAAAACATTAAACATCCAGGGAAATTTTTATTCCAAATAACATAGGATAGAAAATGTCACTTTTTTTTTAAGATAGAAAACACCACTTTTTTTTTTAAATTCCAGGAAACGTTGGGTTTCTAGGATAAATTACACTGGTGACTACAAATTATATTTAGTAGGATATGATTGGTCAAAAAAATGAATATTGGGCAGCTATGTAAATCAGCTTCATCAATACATAATTCCATACACCAAAAGCTCTATGGAATTAAATTCCCAATACAGACACTTACAGAAAATAACATCAAAACAAACTCACAAACCAACCCCTAGCCCTTCTGACCCCAGCCTAAACTCTGCACTCACCTCAGACCTTATCACTGCTGCGCTTCCACAAATAAATTTTAAATGTATAAGAAAAAGACCTGGGTTAACAGGATCTTCTATTTTGCCCCCTTTCAGTTACTTCCATTAAGCTTTTGGCCAGAGACCCCTAATCCTCAAATTTTACATGACTATTTTTACTTTATAGGTACTCGATTATTTTATATCTGAATATAGGTTTATAGTGCTTGAACTGATTTTTTTCATATACTAGCCACCACATTACCAGCAGAATTAACTCATTTTTAATTTTCCTTCATGTGGAACCTTGATAAGTAAAAATTATTTTACCTAAAACCAACTTTTGGCTGGTGTAATTTAGCCCACATTTTTATATAAGATGTTAAATAATAACACCCTCTCTCCTCCCCAATTTTTAACAGCAATCTTCCACACAGTCCTCAAATTCAGTCAATTCTACAGCTTTTTTTTCCTTCTTCATAGTGCCTAGTCACATTTTGACTGAAATACCTACACAGAACCATAAGATCTCAGTTTTTTCAATTTACTTCTCCAGGTTGCTGCCTTCACCAAACACAGAACTCCACAAGTCTCAATTAATTAATTACGGTCTCCCAAGCTGTGTCTACGGATGTAAATGATTCTCAAGGAAGAGTAAATTAAAAAGTAACTCAATGGGTAAGAATTACTGTCTTCTTTTAAAAATTTACCTTAGCTTAAAACATCTCTTTTCTTGATGCAGTTCAAAATAGTATAAATCCTTTGAAGAAACAGTTGTCACCTATGTGCACTCTCGAGTAGCCCCATAAAATGAGGGACATCAAGAGGTATTTTTCTGACAGTCTAAGTTCCCAAACAGTAGTCATAAGGTCTTTCCTGGATGGTAAATTTCACACACACACACACACACACACTCACACACGAAAGAAACGAAACATACCTGGTCATTTTCTAAACAGGTTTGATAGGTTTGGTTCACTTGTAGGAGCTGAGTGTTTACTTATAGTCTTTTAAAGCAGAAGTGGCAGCCAGAGCACTGGGTAAATAAAAACTTGAGAGAGTTTTTAAAACCCTGCATCTTAACTCACTTCCCCTTCGTTCAAGGGGGCCGGCGCAGCAAACCCCACGGCAAACGAGATTATGCAACAGGTTTTTCCTCTCCACTTCATTCATCACAGGCTGGGGAGCGGTGTGCTTTCGCCGAACCGTTTGTGACGCCCATGACTTGAGGATCTTTGCAGCTAACGATTAATAATCTTTTTTACAATTCCATTCATTTTAAGATCTACTTATATTTCCAAGTTAATTACCGGGGTGTGTGGGGGTGTGTGTGTTTAGGAAATAAACCCCAGTTTTGCCTATTTTCCTCCCTGGTGTTTTATTACATGGAACCACACATGATAAACAGATCCTCGGTTGTCTCCCCGGGCTTTTTTTTTT